TCACCACTCACTAAGTTGTGGGTGCCCGTCTGACCGTTGTTAGCCTCCCAGGATTACGTGGATTTCCCCCTGATTTTGGACTGCCAGGGTATCTGGGGAAGGTCACGTTTCTGATGTCCAGGGAAGGTGACCTCCAGTAGCCATCCTGGCAGGCTTCAGAGATGAGCACCGTCCCAGAAGCCCAGGGAATCATTACTGTTATCTGCAGTGGGTTCCCTATGGAGCCCCGAGGCTGCCTGACCCCTGGGGGCTCCTCATCCACTTCATGTCTGTCACCCTTGACCAGCCTGCAGGCACCGCAGTCCATATTTTCTGATTTCTCAGCCACATGTTGCCACTTCTTCCCAGCTCTCCTGTCTCGGGTCCAGTCATTTCCTCTCCTCTGTCACTTTCCCCTGTAACTGTAACTGCTTTTAAAAACCTTTCTGTGTGTCATGTTGAAGTGCCTTCCTAAAGTGAACCAACTAAACCCCTTCACAGAAAAGCCACAAAATCCTTTCTTCAAACAAAGTATTTCACAGCCCCTTGCTACACCAAGTGGGCAACAGCAGTGACCGATTGTGCTTCTGTGGAACAGGACTCTGGTCTCAGCCCCTCACCGCTGTCCCTGACCTGACCTTAACTGGGAGTCTTCACTTCAGGGAAGCCTCTGTCCATAATCATGCTGCCCTGAGGTCTGGACAGTGGTGTAGGCGGACTGTCGCCAGGGCTACTTTTAGTCTTCCTTGCTACCTTTGGGTATTCTTTCTTTCTTTCCTAAGTTTTTTCCCAATTGTGAACATTATTTATTTAATTTATATATGACAGCGAAATGCATTACAATTACAATTCATATTACACACATAGAGCAGTTTTTCATATCTCTGGTTGTATACAAACTCTATTCACACCAGTTCATGTCTTCATACATGTACTTTGGATAATGTCCATCACATTCCACCATCATTTTTTTTAAATATTTATTTTTTAGTTGTAGTCGGACACAATGCCTTTATTTATTTACTTATATGTGGTGCTGAGGATTGAACCCAGGGCCTCGCACATGCTAGGCGCGTGCTCTTCCACTGAGCACAACCCCAGCCCCTCCACCATCATTTCTAACCCTTGCCCCTCCCTTCTCCTCCCACCCCTCTGCCCTGTCTAGAGTATGTCTATTCCTCCCATGCTCCCCCTCCTACCCTACTACGAATCATTCTCCTTATATCAGAGAAAATGGTCTATACCCAGAGGACTTAAAAATATAAAGCAGCATACTACAGGGACACAGGCACATCAATGTTTATAGCAGCATAATTCACAATAGCTAGACTGTGGAACCAACCTAGATGCCCTTCAATAAATGAATGGATAAAAAAAAAATGTGGCATATATACACAATGGAATCTTACTCAGCAATAAAAGAGAATAGAATCATGGCATTTGCAGGTAAATGGATGGTGTTAGTAGAAGATGATGCTAAATGAAGCTAGCCAGTCCCAAATAATCAAATGCCTTTGGGTCTTTCTTGTCCTTCAAGTGAGGGAAACAGCTTCCAAGCCCATTTCTTCTTCCTTCCTCTAAACTGAACTTGATTTTATTGACTCTTTATCTTCATTTTTTTTTCTTGTATCTGGCGTGAAGTCCACAAATGAGTGGTAGAATGAAAATAGAAATGCTGAATTACTTTTTAATAAGCAATAGTTCCTACAGGTGTTGGCAGTAAGCATAATAAAGGAACCTGGTTGAACTGGGAATCAAGGGGGAACTTCGTCCTCTGTGTGCATGCCCACATGAGCACTGGGGATTGACCCCAGCGCCATGTGCATGCTGAGCTCACACTGTACTACCAAGCCACACCCATGTCCCCCAGGGGAACTTCTTCACTGGTTCATGTGACCACTTCATCAAGGTGTGGCAGTTTGTTCTGTTCGGCACAGCAGCCATTTCTTTAAAAGTGAATCTAAGAGGACTGTCTTGATCATCTGTGGGGGGCACCATTTAGCTGCCCTTGTCACAGACATGGAGAAATGACTACCTTTGGGGCTCTTCTTTGGACACAGACTAATCCCCTTACTATTACAGTATCTTCTCACAGAACACAAAATATAGAATTATGTTTTTGTTTTGTCAGGTGTAGCATTCAGTCTTGTGATCCTGAGATTCGGTCCTGTGATCTTGGGTTTGAACATGCACCCCAGTTACATGTATAAATGTAGGTAAATGGAGTTTTTCAGATGGAGAAACTCACCAAATCCTGTTGTGATTTTATTTCAACTGTGGGCAGTTCATAGCCTAACTCTCCAGCTTCTAGAACAGAATGCAGTGGCAGGCAGTTGCATGAATGTCAGTCCCCCCTCTGCCCCCAACTGGTTCCAGAATTCAGAGAGGACTCCATGCCCAGTCGTTACCTGCTACTTGTAGCCCATGCATTGACCACTCTGTTAGAGTGTTGTTTTGTGAGCAAGAGCTGCCAAAGGTTCCACTGCGTTTCTTTCTACCTGGAAGTCAAGGCATGTGTCACAGCTCTGTTGATTTCTGTGCTGCTCTGATGAAATGATGTGTGTCCACTGTTGGTCACACAGTGAAAACCCAAGTGGGACCTGTGTTTAGAAAGGTGCTCTTCAAGGAACTAGGAGGTCCTGGGTGTTCTTCCCTGCTCTAGTGCTGACCACCTCCATCTCTCTGCATCTCATTTCCTGACCTGTAGAAAAAGGGGATGGTATTCGGGCAGCATTAGGTAGTTTTGCCATGAGTTTTAAGATTCACTGCAAATTATTTGTTACATGTGATGCTTGGAAGAGGAAAAGCTTCTTTATTTCTTCTGTTATTCGAATTAGTGCTCATAACAAGGGTATGCCATATTTTTATTTGGAAATGTTTCGAGAGAGTATGAAACATTAAATTAACTATACATTCAGTTTTCATTTTAATTAGCGTTGGGGCCTTATAAAGGGAGATATGGTAATTTGTATTGTTTTAAGCTTTCTTAAGGTATTGTTCTTATCAACATTCATATTTTGAAGGATAAAAGCTTTTAAAAATGTTTGTGCTGGGTACCTATCTAAATAAAAAAAAAAAAAAATCAGGCTTTTATTAACCCAAAGCTCCTAAAGAAAAAGAATAGGATGTATGAAGAGAATGTTTAAAGGAAGACTCTTCTGAGAATTTGCATTTAAACTTCTGCCGCCCTGCTTGGTCCCATATACAGTGTGGCGTTACTGCTCCATGACTGGGCTGTGATTTTTGGCTTCATTATAGTTCTGGTCTGCCCTTCCATTTTCAAGCCAAATTCAACAAAAGCCTGAAATAATGTTTTAATAAACTGTGAAGTCGGGCATCTCTGTTCCGAAGCTCCCTTCCTGTGGAATTTCTGGTGGTGTCCTTCCCACCTCCCAGTCAGCCCTGACCGACTGTCCCACCACCTGATCCAGGCTCCCAGGGGCCTGCTTTCTGCCTCGTGTCTTTGTCCCTGTGGCAGCACCTCCCTGGTTGGCCTTCGCCTCTGATAGACGCCCTCCCAGGTGTCTCCACCAGGCTGGTTCCTGTCTTCTTGCCGCACAAGTCTCGTCCCCTCCCTGTTGGTCACAGGTGTGGCCCTCTGTCACTGAAAGTTCCTTCCCTGATGCTGTGTGCTGTTCCTTGTCCTTTCTCTCTCATCCACTCTGTGCCACAATTCACCGGGCACCGGACCTCTCCTGCCCTGTGTCCTCAGACACTGAATACTTAGGGATGGACCACTTCACTTTCTAGGAAGCAGGCTCTGTGTGTGGGTTTGTGGGTGGTCAGCGTCTCCTTGGCTATTTGGTGGTGACTCTGGGTGGCATGGCTGAAGTTCCTGGGAAAAGCACATCCTCCTCATAGAGATTGTTAATGTGTGATTGGCCATTTCACAATAAAGTCTCACGTCCAGAAACTGGGCTTAGACACCCCCAGCTTTCTCCTGGGTTTCAGGAACCTAGAGCGTGCTGGGGCACTAGGAGACACAGATTGGTGCAGAAAACACAGAGATTAAGGTAAACAAGAGCACCAGAACACCCCAAAGCTCACATTCTCACAGAAGAACTGAAGATCTGAAAGTTTAATTTGAAAGTGTGTAAAGGATATGAATAGTTTCTAGGAAAAGATAAAAGCTCTGCTGGGTTCCCTGCTGTCTCCAGCCCCAGAGCAGTGTTTGCTGGGTGCAGTGTGTATCAAGGAGCTATGTCCACTCCAGCTCCCTGTGCAGTGAAGGAATATTCAACAGCCAGACATGTACCCCTGCGAGCGACATCGTACTTAGAGTTTGTGCTAGGGAAATGTGTGACTGATCGTGGATTTCACATCCAGGTTTGTGTATCACAGAAATCCGTTCTGAAATAGTCAAGTGTACGCGTGTATCAGTGTTGAGTGGGGATACGTGTGTATGTATATGTGTTTGTGTGTCTGTATCCCACAGGAATCTGGTTATGGTGGATGCTGGTGTGGACGTGGGTGGCAGGCTGGCAGGAAGCATAAGCAGTCAATAACTGTAGGTTTTCTAGGGAGCAGAAATGGGAGGAGGGTGTCGGAAAGAAGTGGGAATTTCCAGGAGAGGGGATGTTATACCTTCTAGTTATTCTGCTCTCCTGTTTGAATCTTTTGAGATGTAATTTACTTTGATATTAATCTAAGAACTAGGAAAGATGATGTATGGTTTTAGGCCCATTTTTATTAATATTTAAAATAGGTACCTAGTTAGAAGGGTCATCATGTGTACCTGGAAAATGTGGTTTTCAAGGATGGTTCAAATCCGTGTGAATTCTGTGTGATCGTTTTTTGGTAATGAGACGATAATGATGCAGGCCACTGCCAGGTGGGTCTGCTCTTGTTCCGTAGTGGTGTGGTAGACAGTGCAGAAGTCTGCTATGTTTTCCTCAGTAGTTGTAAGACAATCCTGGGTTCAGGACAGCCTGTTATTCTTGGGGACCTACCTGTACTAAGAGCGGTTTCAAGGATGTATTTATGAGCAAAAGAATTCACACTGTTCTTTCCTTATCTTTTAGAAAAGCTCAAGAGGAGAACAAGAAAGTCGTGCTTGCCGGGTGTGTGCCCCAGGCGCAGCCTCGCCAGGACTACCTCAAGGGGCTGAGCATCATCGGGGTGAGCTGGCACTTTGTGGCAGAAGCCACTCTTCTGCTGTGAGCAGATCAGAGCCACATTCCGTTTCCTGTTATCCTAGACATGTTTCCTTTATTGCCTTTGAAACTTGGTCACGTCTAACTTTTTCATTTTACCACAGGAACTTTCTGGGTTTTCTCATTAAGAAAGAGTAGCACAGTATAAAACATGGCCATGGGTTTGTGTCCCTGAGTGACCTGGTCTCTGTCCCTTGCCATCTTTCTCCATATCCTTCCATTTCCCATCTTCTGAACTTACCTGTCACCTCTAGTGCTAGGTGCCTTTCTGGAATGCCCCACCCCACCTCTCGGCTCCAGCACGACATGTCCTGCCCTCTGTGTGCCACCCTGCCCCTGGGCCCCCCTGCTGTGTGTGCAGTTACCTGTCATTTGCCCTCACAGCATGCAGTTAAGAATTTTATGTTTAGAGTCGTGCTTTTAGGTTTACATGTGATCTTTTAAAGTCCAAATCTCTATGGGAATTAATTACTATCCTCATGAGGACCACTTTTCAGTCCTCCTCGTTTTCCTCCCCTCTTTCCCAGCCCTCCCCACAGTGCTGGCACAGTGGGCGTGCATGCTGTGCTCCCTGGCTGCCACCTCCGCCTTGCACTGTCTTGCTGCCAGCTTGCTGTCCCTGACAGCAGTGGCTCTGTAGAGCCTGCAGCCTGCCCTGTTTTCTCCCTTCTCCTTCGGAGCCTTTTCTGTTCACAGAAAGCCATGTGTAGTGGGCAGTCGGTCAGTGTTGGTTTACAATGGTGGCACTTCCTTCCAAACATTCTAGTAGGCAGTGCTCTGTAAGCTGACCAACGATCCTATTAACGTTTTGAAATATATTCAGATACCGTATGTACCTAGAAAGCGTTCACCTGGCAGCTGGCATTGAGGTTGCTAATGGGGATTCCTCTTCTGACACCCTCCTGACAGGGCTCGTGTTGGGTGCTCAGTGTAATGGGCTTATTTTCTGCTGTGAAGCCCTTGCCCCCCTAGCAAATTTAATAATCTTTGAACAAACCTTCTCCCTTTAAACAAACAGCCTGAATGTTTGGTGACTCTAGTTTGTTTTCACCATTTGTCTATTTACATTGTGATTTCTCCTGGTTTAAAGAATGAAATGAAAATGGGCCTCCTTAGTTGTCTCTTCATGTTGCACTAACTCTGCAAATAGAATCCTGCTGTGGTGGGGAAATGGGAAATAGAGCTCTTTCTTAGGATGGAATATGTACATGCTTGCAGTTCATCTTGGGTTTTATCCCAAGGAATTACATGGCTGGAAAAGCAGACTTTCTGGGGAATAGAAAAAGCCTCTTCTCTGTGTACCTTAAGGTGGTGTTTCTGAACTCTGTTGTGTGCAAGGAAGAGCTTCCTGTGTTTTTGGGTGCAGGGGACATTCTAACACGGTGTGGGGGTGCTGGGAGTGTAGCTCAGTGGTGGAGCTCTTGCTCAAGGTCCTGGATTTGCGCCCCAGCACCGAAAGAGAAGGAAGAAAGTAGAATCCCTAGCATAAGGGAGGGTGCCTGGTGCTGTTTGTGGGAGGCAGTTTGCAGTGCTGAGACATATCTGTCTCCCTGACATTGCTTGTCTTGTTCAATAGCACCCCTTTTTTGTGTCTCATATTCCCATTTCATTGCCATTAGCATTCCTTGGATTTATTTTATTTGGCTCCTTTATGGGAGAAATAACTGAAGAACACATGTTTTGAAAAGTGAGTGTAAAGAAATTCATGTTTCTATACACAATTATTATGACTGTTTATCCCTGTGAACATTTTAACCTTTGCATCATTTGCTTAATTGCAACCTCGAGTTGTTTTGTTGTGTATATTCTGTTTTTTACATGAGCTTTTAAACTATTGAAGTCCTGCATTGATGGTCTATTGAAGGGCTTGCCATCACTTGTTTCTTTATTGTTCGATATAAACATTTCCTGATATTTAGGAAATACACAAAATACATTAATTCCCACAGTGTGCTTCTTATTTTAACTTAGCATATTGTAAAATGTTTCCACAATTATATATCATTAACATTTCATGTAGTAATTTGATTTCATACTCACCAGCATGAAGTATTATCAAAGTGTTTCTCTGTCAGTACCCTTTCATAGAACTTTTTTATTGTGAAAACTGTATGACATCTTATTTGTCATCACTGACATTTTATATATGAAGATTGGATACACAGGACTGAATTTAAAAAATTAGGTTAGGAAACCAAAACTATCTTTAATTGGATGCCTGTAGAGGACTGTTTCTGATTAGAATTCTTAGAAATGCTGCAAAATTAGAAACTTTCTGAATTATAGTAAGTCACAATAAAATGAAGAAACGAATCCCATTATTTTGTGCTAAGGAAGAGTAGTTCTTTTTAAAAAAAAAAAAATATATATATATATATATATTTAGTAGTAGATGGACACAATGCCTTTATTTTATTTATTGTTTATATGGTGCTGAGGATCGAACCCAGCTCTTCAGATGTGCTAGGCAAGTGCTCTACCACTGAGGTACAAACCCGGCCTGGAAAAGTAGTTCTTAAGTATTAAAAAGTTTACTTTCAGTGGCATGAGAAGCTTTTTTTAGCAGGATGCTTGGGGTTGTATTGCACAGTTGATTTGCAGGCCGAGTAAAGAATGAGACTTCTTCATACAGCTCTTGTGATGGAAGGTATTAACAGGTGGTAGGAGAAACAGCTTTAATTGGATTCTGCACTTCTACAAACTTCCACTGAGACTTTCCTGTGTCAGTGCAATCCCAACACGGCATCTGTTCCCCAGGTGACCAGATGGTCTTACTGCATGCAGACCTGGTGGTTGGAACCTTCTAGGTGCTGGCTGTGCAGCTAACATGAAACAACCAAAGGTCCCTGTCCTCAAAGAGCTTGCATTCTGGTTCTGAGACAAAATGGCTGGTTTGAGTCCAGAACTTCTCCAGCCTCCAAGAGACTTTAGTGGGATGATCCCTAGAACACATGGAATTGCCTGGAAATGTTGGCTGGTCAGGAGCAGTTAGTTCTTCCTAGAGTGGGGCTAATTCTCAGGTATGCAGTATCCACGTTAATAGAGATGGCGTTGGTTAATGACAGAACTTCCAGACGCGCCAGCTGTGTGCCCTGCAGGCAGAGGGCCTTGTCGGGAGAGTGCCGAAGTGTGCAGAGCACAGGTGTCTGCTTGTCTCGGGGACCGTTCTGGGTTGACTTGCAGTGGTTTCGACATCCTTTCAGGCTGGCTGCTGGAATCCTGAAGGTGCAGACTGTGCAGTAACTGCTTCAGTGTGGACACTTGGATTCTGCAAATCACGTGTGTGAGGCAGACAGCGTTTGAAACAGGCTGAAATGCAACCTGTCTCTGCCACGTGCCATGCTGCCAAGGGTGAGCAGATCCAGGTCAGCCTGGCACGTTAACAACGGTGTGGGTGCCAGGGCAGAGTTTGGGAAACTATTTCTGTTCATCTCTGCATCGTCTTCTAATAGTTTTTCTGTCATATTCCAGATTTTGACCCTCAAATTACTGGGGAAAAAGAGGGGGGTGGGTGTCAGCACCATATCTGAAGGACACGTAAACTCGGAGCCCATTTAAAAATGTCACTCACGTTGTGGTTAAGAGAATGGATTCGGGGGCTGGACTGCACGGGGGTGTCACCCTGCTGCACCACTTCCTAGCCGAGTGACCTCACACAAGGTACTTAACCGTCGCTCTGCTTGGTGCCTGGGACGTAGTGTTGTGTATTGCTGCTGCTGCTCAGTGACTGCCATGGACTTCCTCACATTTAACAGATTTGAAAATTCTGTTCTCTTCTGATGATATCATTTAAGGTAGGGACTTTCCTAACAGCTTAGAGCAAAATTTTTAGAAATAAAACATTTTCTCTAGAGAAGTGAATATCAAACTTTGACCTGCCTGATGCTGTTACAGGTTCAAATCCCCGTTATGGTAAAAGTGAAAAAGTTGAATATATAATTGATGGGGAAGACTTTTTTACATGTATAATTCTTACCAAAGATGGGACGTTATTTCTTCCCCTTTTACCAGACACATTCATAATGTGCAACATGTGGATCTGGTACACGTAAATGGAGAAGAGTCAGGGTAGCCAAGCAGATTGCCTGTCCCCCCTCTGCCGTGATTGTTATGGAGTGTGCATGTAGGGGAGCACCTCGCCTCCCTCTTAGCAAATTCATTGTAATATGACGTCACTAACCACAGTTCTTGGGAGGCCCACCGGGTCTCTGGTCTTAATCATTGTGTGTGACTGAGTTTTCACTCTTGGACCTACTTCTCCAAATTTCCTTCCCACCTCTGGTAACCCCGGGGCTGTGCCCTGTTGCTGTGTGTTTGGCCGTTTTTCATGTTTAGCTTCTACCTATGGCTGAGATCATGCAGTACTTGCTTTTCTGGGTCTGGCTTATTGTCCTCCGCAGAGGGTCCTGTAGGTTCATCCATGCCTTGGCCATTGGTGGTGTTCCTTTTTATAGACCGAATAGTACTCCATCATTTGTTTACTACAATTTCTTTTTCCATTCATCTGCCAAAGGGCACCTATTTTTTTTTTTTTACAGGATGGCTATCATGAGTGATGATGGAGTGATCAGAGACCCGGGCGTCTCTCCCAGGTGCTGATTTCCCTTCCTTGACTGCGTATCCATAGGCAGGCTTGCAGGGTCCTGTGGCGCATCCCTCCTTAGTCTTACAGAGGAGCCTCTCCAGCTCTCCCACGGGGCTGCCGCAGCCTGCACTACCCTTGGTGGTGCGCGGCTCCCTTCCCTCCCACCCACCCCTCCAGCACCCCTTAGTTCCTGTCTCGCTGCTGACCATCCTAACAAGTGTGCCCTGGCATCTCACAGTGGCTTGGCTTTGCATTTGCCTGGAGATTGGTGACCCTGGGTACCTTACATGGACTTGTTGGCCATCTGTGTTCTTTCTTTAGAAGATTGTTATTCTGACTCTTGCCCACGTTTTAACTGGGCCCTTTGGTTTTCTGCTACT